TCTTGTCCGACCCTTTCGCCCAATAAAATATAATTTTTGATTTCTTTTATTCGAAAGGTCTATTATAGTAAAACAGGCCATACTAGGTATCATGAAAAAATTTTTAATAAAAATAATTCATGAAAACTTTGTGACCCTTGGATTACACGTAAAAATAAAGCAACCCACACTAATTGTCACACCCCTAAACTCGCCCCTAAAAGTTTTGGGCTGACCTAATCCGAAAAGACATTTAACCTGTGATATAAAATATCGGGGCCTGAATGGAAGCGTTAATATAAAAAGTTTAACATATAGACACAACCATTGAGCTACTACACAAATGCCAGGATCATGACTCGGAATTAAACTCATAGTAGACATGTGTCTGATATGACGTTATATACACATTTACAGTCCAGCCCAGAGGTTGGGCATACAACAAAATATTAGATACAACAAGTTTGGTCTACAAAACATTAGCACAAAATGACATGGTCTGACAAAACTGCCTAGCATGAAAAAGGCTTCTCTAAGTGCCTGGTTGTCCTTAGGTTGACAAAAGATAGATGATAACCATGCTAGGACTGACCCCCGAGTTCGTTCTTACAAAATCAGACAAAATTACAAAGTGAGACAAGCTCAGTGAATAATAAACTTAAGAGTTTAATAACCAGCTTTAGTAACAATGCGTAACAATGCATTCACAAAATGAGATTCAAAGTAGTCTGATATGGTTTTACTTGAGAACGGCTGTTGGCCCAGAGTAATCAGAACAGCCTTTCGGCCCAAACAGCCTTTCGCCCAGAACGTACAAATATGTACGTATATCTTCTAGTGTTTTCATTTTTCATTAAGTTCCAACAATACGTATGCAAAATCATAACTGACGGAAAACAGAATGTTATTAACAGATATAGCGGAAAATAAATGTACATTCAATGTACTATTACTCACAGCGTTGTGATGGCGTCTATTCCTTCGGAGTGTGCCCTGCATACAACCATAACTTGTAAATTAGTTCTCTTTCTTCTTAACTCATTGAGGAATTATTTCCTTGTTATTACCTTCAAATGAATTATAACCATCTTAAATCATCAGAAAAATATTCTAAAAAATACCAGAGAGCCAAGCACGCAAAACTGAACCAATCAGTTTCTTTCTGAAAATAAGTCCCCGCTC